GAGGAAGAAGATGTTTTAAGGAATGCCGTTAAGAAGTATGCATTTATTCTTTCAGAATTATACACTGATTGAATTTTAATTACGGAAGTTGCTAATAGAGGGACCTAATTCTTTTTTTTAAATGAAGGTACGGGAAAGGGAATTGGAAACTTATCTTGAATCTACATCATGACGTTTTCTTAGAGAGAAATGAGGTAAATAATTTGCTTCTGTCTTCTTTCTCTACTGTTTGCTTGAGAATAAATGTTTTCTATATTATTATTATTTGTTGCTATGTGCAGGGGGATTTGAAGGACAAATGGAGAAATATGATGCGCTAATTATTGCTGGGAAACTGTTTCTATATGTTCACTAGGTATATTCCTCATTCGGCTGGGATTTTTTTTATCCAATGTATGTGTGAGGTAATGAATGGGATGCTAAGTCTCTGAAATATAATTAAAATGTTTGGCTTTTTCTATTTCAATGTTGGTAGAGTCTTTCATATATGCTGGTATATAATATTATATGCATGTACGCCTTGGTGCTTAATGCTCCAAATTTATTACACTAAATCGTAAGTGCCGAAAATAGAGTATTCTCGCAGCACATGATGTGCCCCAAAAAGAGGACCCTGTTGGTATTGCCTCAATAGATCCACTGAAGAACTCTATTTTCCTTATGATTTATTTATTTTTATATAAGTAATTAGATTAAGTAGAAGGTTAAATTCCTTTGATGCTCTTCAAAATAAAATAATTATTTTCTTATTAGAAAAATAATCAAATTTCAGAGAAAAGAAATAGGGACCTCTGTAGCTACATTCTAATGGGAATGCCGGATGGCTATTTTGCTGATATATTACGAGTGCTTCTTTCCTTCTCTAGGATCATTTGTAGTGCAAAAATTGTATCTTTTCCACACCATGATTCAATAGATGGTTTGAAGTTTTTATCAGTGTCAGCTCCAATATTTGGACCAAGAAAGATAGTTAAGAACATTTTACGAGCAACACTGGAGTTCATGGTGACCTTCTTTCTCATGATAAAGAAAGAGAATTAGATTCTGGAAGTACTTCCTATAAATATTCCATGGGTGTTTGTTTAAAATGCATTGCCTTGATGCTTTGTTTCTATGGATTAATTCCTTTTCTCTCCAATAAGAATTCCTTTCTTCTCTCCAAAAAAGGGCTACTTTCTGCAACTTATTTAGAAGACAAAGGAGAAGCCTGGATCTGTGGTCTCCCAATTAGATGTGTTGGTTATGCTGTTAGAGAAAGCAGGAAATGAAATTAAGAAAAGGAAGGTCAAAGATGCAGCAAGATTCCAGCCATCCACTTGGCTGTCATCAAGATGACTGGCATCAGTAGCTGATAGTAATAGCTGTTGTCACTGTTGCAAGTTCTATTCTCAGAACTTCTGATACTCAGTTCTTATATTATGATGGGAATTGTCAGCATGCAAAACCAACACTGTTATTTCTGCCTATATACACATACAACACACACACAGCTGTTGTCTCATGTATGAGTTAGTGATTCACATCATAGTCTGTTCAGATGACATGGTTGGGAATATTTCATGGATTAAATTTTCTTTTGCTTTCTTAATGTACATCTTCCTTTCCTACCTTACATGGGATGTATCCATCCTGTAGGGTGTTGGATACTGCAGCTAACAGCACTATGCATATTTTAAAGAAGTAATGAGCACTGATTGAATGCGGGGATAGCTATGTAACAGCATACAATTGTTTGTTTAAGTTGCCAATTTTGTTTATTGCATAGAGCTTTTTCTGGTAATCTGCAGTATGTCCTTGGTGGCTCAAGTAGAGGCAATCAACTTGTCCTATGTCAAAAAGTTTGCTGATTCTAATCTCCAACGAGGTTTTCAAAAGTTACTTACATCATGGCATCCTCTTTCAATTGAGCTAAGGATGCAGGTGCTTTCTTAACTCTCGGGGCAAATGATGTGGGGCCAGAATCCAAACTCGGAAATCCTGCTGATGCTATATAGATGGCTCAACTTGCAACAGAGGTAATGAGCAGTACCATCTTCTGTTTAAAGACACTGAAAGAGGAAATTGAGCTTGTTTCTAGTACTTCAGCTGCAGTGTTCATTATTGACTGGGAGAATAGCATGGCAAAGCAACAAACGCATATGAATGATGTGTCAAACGGAAACAAATTAATGCCTGGGTTTGACTTTTGTGATGATATGCATGCAGTCCACTCTAAGCTAAGTAATCAATTCTACAGAAACATAAGCATTGATGTTCAAAGGAAATTGGGGAGTGTCTCGGTCCAGTTTACTGTGCCTGCCATCTTAAATGAAGATAAACTGAAACCTGAGAGAATCACATCTTTGTGCTGCTCATGGTACTTGGAAGTGCATGAAGGTTTTTGATTTGGAGCACCAATGAAGGAAAATATATGTTAGACCTGCTTTGGGGTACAACCTACATGGGCTTTGTGGATTCGGCCATATTTCAATATTAAATTGTGTGAGTAGCCTTTTTCTCAATTCCCCTATTCTCCCATTGTCTGTACTTTTGGAAAATTATTGAATTCAATTAGCAGTAATGCATCATAACTCTGGGTATTTTCTAGATGCATGAGTCTTACAGGTCAGCATATTGGGGCACATATGTATTAAGCATATTGATTGCATCTAGGTGCATGTATCATTGAAATATTACATACATGTATCATTACCTGTAGTTGGATATATTATTGAAGGTCACACACGTGGATCATTAATTGTCATACTCATACTCATTTATTTGTCGACCTCACCTATACATAAGAATAAGTAACAAAGAAACAAGAGATACAAACAACAAGTTAAGAAATGTAAATACTTCAAAATTCTGGGCATCGAGTGTTGAGATTGAGAAGTACCTAATTTCTATCAGTTAGTACAAAACCAAAAGGGAACGAGATCAAACCAATGTTGAATCCCGAAGATAGAGTGTTAATTCCCTTGCACAGTGAGAGGCTTCGATTATCCTCAAGAAGCGTCACTTATATATAATACTATTTTCATTTTTGAAAAAATCCTCAGGAAGGGTCGCTATGCCTCTTAGCCGGTTTGGATTATTTCTTTATTATCATCACAAAGTTGGTTGACAAAGGTGTTGGGTTAGCAAAGTGGATGGTGGCCTTGGTATTGGTGATCATTACTGTAAAAATTTACCTATTTTAACTAAATGGTTATGGAGAATTCCCATGGAGCCACACTCTTTGTAGCACAAAGTTAGCAAGAGCAAGTTTGGTTTTCACCATAATGGATGGGATTCCAAGGTCACTGTTTCGAAAACTTATAAGAGCTCCTTTATGGTCTTATGCTTCTTGCTTACCCTTACCTTGTTTGAGGTTAGGAGATGGTTCATCCATTCTTTTCCATGAAGACCCTTGGATTAACAATCCCTGCTTGCCTGGAATCTACAAACTATCAAGAAATCATCATTCTTCTATTTGATCTTGTTTGGTTCGATTTGATGAATCTCATTCTTGGAATTTTTCTTTTTGCCAGAAATCCTAATGAATGGGAAGCTATTGATATGACATCAATTATTCAGCTTGTAGGATCCAGGGTCTTTTCTAATAACACAGCTTTTAGGGATTATGCTCACCTAAGTCTTACTTAGACTTTATGATTCATAATGATAGTACTCCAGATGAGAACGTAAACAAGTGCTTATCGAAGGTTCTCAGTTTTTACAAAGTCAAAGCTTTTGCTTGGACTATGATTCTGAGCACAGGCTTAATACTAATATATGCTTCATGCTTGCAGACTGAATAGCGCTTTGTCACCTGAGCTCTGTGAGATGTGTATTAGGGCTGCAGCGACTCACAACCATCTCTTCTTGCATTGTGATGTGACTTGGAGATTTTGGTGCCGAATTTTTGATCAATTTGGCTTTTCTTTGGTTTCTCTTTTAGAAGATTGAGGGTTTTCTTTCTTCAATGCTAATGCGTCTGAGGATGAAAAGGATACAAAATATCTTTGGTGAGGGCTTTGTTTGCTAGCATGTAGGTATTTGCTAGCATGTGATGGATTTGATGAATGACTATAGTTTATGAATATATTGTATTTGTGTATTTTTATTGATTTCATTAATTATTTTTTAAACATGAAATTTTAGGAGAATAAAAGGAGAAATCACTTCAATTTGGTCCGGACAGAAATATGATCGGTCCGTTATTTAGTCAGCATATCTCTCATAATTCGGTCCTCAGTCTCGGTAGATTCGTGACCGATGAAAATCCCTAGATAAATTTATTCTATAGCTTCTGTATGGACAGTGAGAACTTTAGGATTGAGGAATTTAAGTACTAAAAAGTTTTGGGTATGTAGTTTTAAGATTGAGAAGTACTTCATTGCTAGCAGCAAGTCCAAAGCTCTAAGGGAACAGGATAAACCAAGCTAAGTTGAATCTTAGAGATGGAGTCCTTTAATTCCCTTGCATGGTGGGAGGTTCAGACTATCTTCAAAAAGGTGTTATCATGACTCTTAGCTGTGTTGATATTATATTTTTTCGGGTTTTCATATTTTTATATTAAACATAAGAAGAAATCTATGAGAAAATTTGAATATAAAATTGGAAAAATATATTACACAGTCAAAAAGAAATTGAATAATCAGATAATAAGAGGACCAAAAGATTTCCTATTAAGTAGTAAGAGGACAGAATATCTTTGACAAATTGGTCTGACAAATGGATGCCAGCTCCAGGTCAGAACAGCATTGGAACTCTTAGAGAAGATGGAAAGTGAATAATCAAATTAATTTTTTGTTTCCAAGTACTGTTTTCTATAGGAGCGAAATAGGCTATATTTGATTTTATGTCAAATTCATTTACAGTTTTCATCTGGTAATATCTCTGAATGTTTTCTCAGACTGAAATATATTTTGGGCGCAGGCATGTGGAAATTATAAGTTTGATTCTTTTGTTGCCAAGCTTATCCTGAAACTTGGGTTGGATAGAGTTGTGGCTACCTTAAATGCATTCCTTCATCTCCACCAAAAGAAACAAGAATCAATGAAGTTTCTTCCAGGGAGTGGACAGGAGGGAGTGCTTGAACGTCTTTTCCTTCATTTGACAAATGCATATGGTGAAAGTTGTATGCGTAGTCTCTCCAAAAAGTTGTATTTGTTCTGTCTTGTTATGCAAGTGTGTTTGAAAGCCCCTAACCCCTTGTCATCTTTGTTTCATATCATCAAGAAGTATATAAGATGCAACTGTATGGAAACACTAACCCTTTGTATATGGTGTCTCTATCTAAAAGTAAGTACCATTTTTCTCCATGTACTCCATTAATGGACGTCCTGGGAAAAGTCCTGCATCGGAGCTTCATCACTATGGAAGATGGTGATTTTGCATCTTCTCATGGCATGGAGAGATTTTGTGAGTTTAAAAGTTTGATTATTAAGGTTGTTCTTCGATAAGCACTACTGAGTTTAATTAAAATGTCTGCAATGGATAGAAAGCTATCAAGGCCTTCCGCACATGCTTTTGGAAGATTTTATGTTAATTATGTATACCAGTTAACACACACACACACACACATTTATATTCATGTATATGTATATCTTATCATTTGAGTCAAATACAACTTTTATCAGTTATATCAATTAAAGAAGAATAAGAAAAAGGATTTAAAAAAAAAAAAAAAAAAGGTATTGTCCTTTCATTGAATTTAATGCAACTTTATATAAATTAAAGCCAAATCTTTGTAACAGTAATTTTAAAAACAAATTTTTATTGATAAAACTAATTTATCTATTTAGAAATTGATTTCAGAAAATTTCATAGAATTCAAATATGATAAAAGATCTAAAAGTCATATCACAAGATACTAAGCTGTGATGTTAATAGAATAAATTAATTATCTTATGAGATCAAAAACATACATTATAATTTATCATAATATAGAATTTTACACTTCATTAATTTTTTTTTTTCAGAAAGTCTAGGAAATAAACAAACTAACGCGAATGAAAAAAATAGATGAACAGAAACTTATATAGTGTATAGTTCTAAATTTTTATATTAAATATGAAATTGCACGTGGCCTTTCTCAAATTTAATTATATATGGAATACTATCTTGAAACTCAACCAACTTTATTGAAACTCAGTAGAACTTTCCTCTTCATGATTAATGCTGATTAATTAAAGCAATTATCAATGATTAACTAATACGATTATTTATACGTGAAGATTTCATATATATATATATATATATATATTTTTTTTTTACAAATATCGAAAATCATTATATTGCCTCCACCTAGGGTTCCCTACTAACCGGACCGTTAGATAGCTCTTAAGGTCAAAATACACGAACTACGTGCACTGGTAAATGGCACTTACAGTGTCAGGCACTTTGTGTGCATCATTTGGATTGTGGAAATTAATTACTCTTAATTAAAAAAAATCATTGATTAATTAAACCAATGCAATTTGAAATTAAAAATGACCAAATACAATTAATACGTCGATTTCATTGCCGTCCTAATCATCGTTTGAAAATTTCCCATCTCTTCTTTTTTTTTTTTTTTTTTTTTTTTTTTCCCTCTTGTTCTTAATTACCTCAAAAAAATTCTTAATTTTCAAATGAAAATCCAATTAGAATATAAAAAAAAGAAAGTAAGATTGAATAATTTAGTGCTCCACTCAATTCTGTCCCCCATTTGTTGTGGTTTTGTTGGCATGACAATAAAGTGCAAAATAGTAGAGAGCAAGAACTTTTGTTTGCAATCACCATTTACTATTTTATGGTATTTCAAATTCATGTGGTTTTTGGGAGTTCTATTTTATATGCATTCTTTTATATTACTATGTTTTATTTACTCTTAGATTTTTATATATTCGTGTTTATAAATATATGTGTTTTCTTTAAAAGCATATTGCAACTTAATTAATTTACTTTTTTCTAAAATTACTTTGCTCATTTAGTTTTTTATTATTTTGTACAAATGTTGATCGATAAAATCATCTTTTGATGTTTATTAAAAGAATAATAATAATCTTTTGATGAACTTTTGGGATTGCTCTCTTTTGACTAGTAATATATTGTATAAAGTAATTTTTGTGTTATTGTTGGATTTTATTCTGATAATTAATTATTAATTATCTCTTTAACTAAATACTAATTATAATTAATCTTCTATCAAAATTAAATGTATTTTAGTATAATTATTTTTACTATTTTTTGAAAAAAAAAATACCATCTTTTAATAGAATGATATATATATACATATATATATTATTACAATTTAATTTTCCTTTAATAAATTTCTGTTTCTGTCGTTGACAATTGATATGTTAGTTTGGCACAATTTTTCTTGGACACTTATTGAATTATCAAATTATAAAATGAATTATCACCTTAATTTTATATATTATCAAGCTCCTAATAATAATATCCATATGCAACTTGATCATCTTAAAATTTTTTATTTCCATACAAATTTATAATGTCATTCCAATGTACGACTAATTAAGAGAGATTAAAATAGATTAAATTGATTGATCATAGAAATATACAACCTAATTATCTGAAAAAGACAATTAAGTAGAAATTGGTAGAGAAAGAATAGGTCATGAATAAGAAAGGATAAGAACAAAGAAAGTGGAGGAGAGTCTTTCAATATGCATAAAAATTAAAAGACAAAAATTCATATATACTTCTTTTCAACCCACTTATAATTCAGCACAAACACACATATATATATGGCCAATTATTATCATCATCATATTTGATCCTCTATGTTTACCCATTTTATTATATGTAATTATTTATTTTTCAACATCAAATAGGTTCAACTTAAATTAGTTAACAAATTATTTGTGTTTATTTTTCCTCTAAAAGAACAAAGAATTTAATGGGTATAAAGATTCCATAATATTCCCAAGATTTTTTTTTTTTTTTTGCCAATTTTAAAAGTATTTAAAATAATTTTTTTTCTATAAAATTTTAATTTAAAAATATTAAAACTAACTAAATTAAAATAAACAACACATTTAATGACAAAGTAAACTAGTAATAAATATAATTCAGAATGATTTTCCGAGACAAATAAATATAGTATGCTATCATTGCATTTAGTTAAAATATCTTTTATTTTAGCTTACTTTTTAACAACTTAATAAATAATTTAATAGTATAAGTTTAATCTAATTTAATTATTCGCAATTCTACTAATAAAAATTTCGTTAAATTAAATATTATTAATTTATAATATATTTATAAAAAAAATGATAAATTTTGATATATCCATTATAATTATAAATAATTGCATTAGATTAAATATTTAAACTAATATAGAATGAAAATAATAGTTTACAGTCAATATTGACCAGCTAATTAGTAAAGACGAATCTGCTCTTCTCAATCCCACATGTTCCAAAAGCCTTGACAAATATCACGCCAGCATCTGCCACTAGTTTTCCGCCAACACTCCTTCTCTCCCATGTCATCATCATCCCACACTTCCGTCCGTCTTCTTCCTTCTTATTTCCTCCTTTTTATTCCCTAAACCCCTCACCCTCCCTAAACAAACACTTGCAACTTTTGCTCTCTCTTTCCCAAATTCTTAAATTCGAAATCTTTTTCATTTTTTCCTTTCCGGGTTTTCTGTATCGTCATCTACAAATGATACCCACGAAGCGCAGCCACAGATTCTTCAAATTTAGGTCTCCGTAGCTTTCTCAAGGTTCTATTGGTTTTCCTTTTTTTGTCTTCTTGATTATAAATCCACCACTACCCACCAACAAAAGTCGTAATTTTCCTGATCAAATCCATCCAGAGTTGTCTAATACTCATCTCTATCTTTACCCTTTTAGTCTTTTTACTCTCTTTCTGTGTTATCGCTTTTCAACAAAGACCAACACGTTTTTTATTTGACTCATTTCCATTTCAATACTCTGCTTTTTTGGAATCTTGAAATCTTAATTATCAGTTTTATCTGGAGGACCAAATGTTAGCTAAGAAGTACGACTTCTCACGAGTGGTGGTGGAGATTGCTTGGATAATGCTCAGGATTGATTACTCTAGGCTTTTTTGGCTTCTCTTTGGTGTTTTCTCTTATGAGAATCATGAAGGAAAGCCCAGGATTTAACTCTAATTAAATACTCCATTACTACTTTGAATTTTTCACAAGTAGCCTTCCTTTTTCGATCCTCAAACATTCTTTTACTTTTTGATCTCTTTTGATTCTCTTTTCAAAGATTTCCAACCCTTTTTCTAATCACCCACATAAGCAAACTCTACAAACATGCACCGAAAGAAACTTGGAGAGCTCACAGATGAAGCCAAGGCCGACTATGGATACGTTGAAACCGATCCTACTGGTCGATATTGCCGAGTAAGTTTATTGTTTATGGTGGCAGATTATGATAATATTATTTGTATATACTTGTGTCTCTGTGTCTGGTTTTATCTTATATAATATAGGTACTTGCATCCTTGTCTAATATTATAATTTCGTTTGACTAAATTAATGTATTCCCACCATGGTTATAATATAATGCGAAGCTCATCTGCTTGGGAAGTCTTATCATAATTTATTGTTCTGTTCACAACCAACTTCTTATTCTTTGTTTTTACAATATTCTTCAATGATGTACGTATGCCATGTACTGGATTTGATATTTTATGGTTACTGTTTCTCCCTTTTTTTATATTCAACTAGATTATTTAATCTAAAGGGTTGGTTGAGAAGAGGACATTAGGAAATTTCATTGTTTACAAGTCAATATGAATAGATAATCACAGAAGGAATAGTTCCTTTCATTCTTTTGGGTGCACAGTCAACTAGATACTAGTTAAATAGTGATTGTTAGGATATGATCTAAATAATAAACTGCTTTACATACCACTTCTTTAAGCTTTTGCTTTTGTCCTTTTCTTCTGCATGTTTTATTGTACCTCACAATTGGTTCTATCCGAATCTGTTTTTTTCATAGTTGGTAGTTGATAGTTGAGTCTAAAATTGCGTAAAATACTGCTTATACATGCAGAGTGTTGAGATACAATATAAATAATAAATTAGATCATCGCCTAATAATTAAACTTTTGCAGAAATGGGCTAAAATTTTTGAGGTAATGCAAGAGTCTGAATCCCAATGGGGATTAGTGACAAGTTGAGGGAACTGTGTGGAAGGCCATATACAGTAATTGACATATTAGGAATACCGAATAAATTAAGTCCATGCATGCAAGACTGGTTGAGATGAATTGTAATCTAATGCTATGAAAAATTTACGCTGTTCGATATTTTGGGTAGTTGAGAAGTATTCTTAATTTTGATTTGGTAACTGGTTTACAGTTGATTATTTGATAAATGGAAGAACTGAAAAAATGTAGATTGTTTGTGTCATGGGAGTAATTTGTGGCTGAAATGATGCAGTTTGACGAAGTTCTTGGCAGAGGAGCAATGAAAACTGTGT